AAAAAAGAACAAAGTACTAAGGGATAAATGGAGAAAAACAAGTGTAAAACTTGTCCCCGGGGGCCGGCCGGGGGGCGCACTGCTACAGTGCGCCGCTTGGGAGCGTGGCGGCGCTCCCACCGAGGGTTCGGATCCCACATACAGACCGGTTCCCGCTCACTGGCTGAGCGAGGCGCGGGAGCAGCACCGAGGGCTGCGATCCTGTTGCCGGTCCCGGTCCGGTGCGGGGGCGACACTGAGGGTTGCAATCCGTTGCCGGACACGGGAAAAAAAAAAAAAATTAAAAACTTTCATGCTGCAAGTGAAACCATCTCGAAAGTGAAATGACAGCCCCATGGGACAAAATATTTGCAAATCAAACATCTTATAACTGGCTTATATCTAGAATATACAAAGAACACTCATAACTCAATAATAAAAAGATACACAACCCAATTTTAAAACAGGCAAAAGTTCTGAATAGACATTTCTCCAAAGAAGATATACAAATGGCATATGAACAGATGCTCAACATTATTAGCCATTAGAGAAATGCAAAGAAACAGAATGTTCATACACTGCTGGTGGGAATAAAAGTAAAATGAGGCAGCCACTATGGAAAATAGGGCTGTGATGTGACGGCTGTACAACTCTGTAATCATACTGAAAAACCACTTTAGCTAGGTCAATTGTATAGGATGTAAATTATCTCTCAATAAAGCTGTTAAAAACAAAGATTAAAAAAATTTGGTGAGACCTTTTTTTGGTTCATAAGCTTGACGATTGGGTTTTCATGCTATTGCGTGAGAAGTGCCTCCTTCTAAACCTTGTTAAGACTTTGGCACACTACCCCTCTGATGTGGTAAAAAACAATAAAACAAAAGAATATAGTGAGTTGAGAAATAAATGAAAAGTAAGAAAGTAGAAAGTGGAATGTAGAATAAAGATTTTTGTTTCTCCTTTCTTAAGCTTTAAGAGACTCTGGGATATTAAATGCTAACTGGGAGAAAGGCTGAGAAGGCAGGGAGCTGGAAGCGGTCACAGGATGGGCCACGTGATCCAGACACAGCATGCCACCACACCTCCCCCACCACACAGGCCACACCAAGGCTTCTTCACCAGCCTTGTCCAACACTCAGGCAGTTTTTAACCTCCCATTGTCCCTCACACCACCTCCCCCAACCCCACCTCACCGCTCCCTCTCCCCACTCTAGGGTTGCCCTTGTAATTTCAAATTCTTCCATTCCACCAGTTACTACTCCCAAACTTGCATGCCCATACCCTACAGATCTATCTTCCTGGGAATAAACATAACCATGATAATAGCAATAGCTAAGGTGGTCAGATAACCAATAATCGAGACTTTTTTTTTAACCTTCTCAACACCTCCTGTAAGAACACATAAGCCATTGTTTAGACTTTTATTTCCCCTGCAAGTGGAGTTCACTTTTCTAGGTTTCAAAACTGGAACCAAAGAAAACTCTCCACCCCTACCTTTGTTAGGGAAGTTAGGCCAACCAGGGAATTAACCTGGAGTTGCCTCAGGGAAGGAGGCAGGGGAAAAGGAGAGAAGCTGGTGCTTTGATTCAAAGAACTGACTAACCAGATCCAGGGAGGTCAGCAGCAGGAAGAGACGGACAATAGCAGGAAGCACAACTGTTTGAGTAGGTGGCATAGGACTGGCCATGCTCCCTCACAGAGATTTCTGGGATAGGGGCAGGCCCCTGGGGTACACACAAAAGCAAAGGGGATTTGCTGTGATCATCACCAACTACCATGGCCTCAA